AAAAAAGTGAGAAAAGGGAAAAAACCCCTTTTTGTCACAAAAAAAAGATTTTTTTTTTTTTTTTTTTTTTTTAGATCCTCTTCAGAAATTAAACAATAAAATGATTAAAAATGATAATGGTGTAGACATATTCATGGCATGTCAGAAGAAACAAAAATGTGTTTATTTTTTGTTCTGCCGCTCACCAAAGTCTGATCCAGACTTCTAATTTCTCTGTAACTCTATCATGATGTTTCTACCTGCTCACTTATAGCCATTTCCTGTTCTACTTGAATTATGAGACCTGACTTCCTACAGAGTGGCTGCAGGAAGTCATGGATTATTGATTAACACGAGAACCCTCTGATCAGCTGAAAATGTAAAGCGTTTTTTTTTTTCTCTTGATGGCAGATTTCTTTCCCCATGGAATAAATGAACAACAACAACAACAACAACAACAAAGAAAGTAAATATCAGACTTTTCTACATTTCAGATCGTAGGGTCTACATGGGAAGTAGCTGCGTTTTAATGATTTTTCATTGCTGTACCAGCGTGTTGCCGGCTGCATTCCTGCCTGTGCTGAATCCATAGCCTGCAGCATCGGGATCAGGCAGAGGCATGTCAGCATACCCAGAAAAACTTCACACATTCCTGTGCGCTCTGAACAACGACATCTCGCCATTCTCTCTAACAATGTCACGTCCTTATACTGGGTCATCTTAACTGCTGGTAAGTGTCACAATAAACACTGATGACTTTTTTTTTTTTTTTTTTTTGTAGAAGTTAAGGGGGGGATGGTTCCCTGATGGGCGTGGAGCTCATTTTACTCAATGACGGAAACAGCCGAGTGACTTGAACTCTGGGGTTGAAATTCAAAGCAGCGTTATTAGAAAAAGACTCGAGGGAAGTAAAGGTGTGCGGATAAAATGCCGGAAGTTTCTTTCTGTTCTTAAGTTGCAGGTAAGCTTTTCTTACCCAGCTGCACACACACACACACACACACACACACACACGTCCTCGAGTGGTACGTTTGTTCAAAAAGCGAATCAAGACCGGGCGGAATACACCACCTTTAGTACAAAAAAAAAGAAGAAAAAAAGAAAGAAAAAGAGAGATTAGTTTCTTACGTCCGCGTTAGAGGAGAGGACGTAAGTAGTGACGTATGATATGGATTCTCGACCAGGCTGCGTTTAGCGGTTTTTTAAAATAGGTGACATTTACATTATATTTTCGGTGTAAGACCGTTCATCCCGAAGTGAAACCAGGGCTTGAGCAGCACCACACGTGGATTGCTCAATGAAAACACTCCCATAAAAAAAAAAAAAAACCTCAGCGTACCTCCACGGCTATTAATCTAATTAATAATCTATTTTACTTGAGTTTTAAGTAGCATGGCATATTAAGGGAACCGTTTGGAGAATGTCTTAAGGTTTCGGGGCGCCTGAGCTTGATGTGAAACACACCCGGGTAATATTACTCTCAAACAAGGAAGAAAACACAGGGTGGACTTTGTTCAAAGAGATGCACAGAAAGCAGTGGCATTGTACAGTTTTGTATTTGTGTGCATGCATGGACGTGCATACTGTGACTCACGCAGTGATTGAACCGCACAACAGTACCTGCAACTTTCTTTTGCGCAGTTGTGTTTCAAGTTACCAAAGTAAATGCAACATGCTATATTCCAATAGCATGATAAGAAAAAACTATCCAAACTAACTTGTTTTTAAAAAAGTAATCCCTTGTCCTTGTTAAATCATCAAGTATCTGTGATTAACCGCTTTATTTGAAAAGCTTGTTTCAGTTTCATTAGCCACATCCAGGCTTGAACTTTACTCCTCAAGTCAGTAGAATCAAGAAAGCAGTCGAACGAAAGCTGTTTGACTGCATGAAGTAGGCAAAACGATCTCAAAAAGCGAACAAAGCTGCCAACATGTATCAATCTGGAGAGTTTTACCAAGGTGTTTTTTTTTTTTTTTTTTTTAAGAGATTCCTGATGGTACACAATGAGAACTATTCAGCAATGGAGAAAACAAGAAGCGGCGGTAAACCTGCGTAGAAGCAGCCGGCTGTACACCGAAAGTTCATCAACTGCTCTTGTGGGACGTCACGAGAAATCCCAGAGCGATAGCACTGTAGGCCTCAGTTAAGGTCAAACTTTATTATTGGTATAACGTACCACATAAATCTCAGGTCAGTGCTTTTCTTAAATGCGTGCAAAACAAGAAAACATTTCAGAAAAACCAGTCTGACCATTGGTTTGGGGCCTTGAGCTGGGTCGTGCAGCAGGAACATGATGCAAAACACATCACCACCTTTTTTTGTTGCTAAATATGTCTTCATACTCACGAGGCATGTGCAAACCTAGCTGATTGAGTTCTCTTTTTCTCCTTTTCTCTCTCTCTGAAGCTGATGTGTGGCTTTGATAACAAGGCAGTGTAGCTGTAGATTAAGACTCCTCTGCCTTCTCTTTATTAATGTCTGTGGTTTAGTATCTTCTTTGTGTAGCTGGCTCTCTACACCACTGCTACGGTACTAGGCTACCTCCAAAGACTTGACTCCAGCTTATTCTCACACAGCCACTTGCAGCTCTTGTTGCAGTCGCATCCATGTCGGGGGTGCGGGGGGGGGCGTACAGTTTTTTACGATCTTAAAAAAAAAAAATCTCATTTTGCTTTCGTAAGTAAGCTAACTGGAAGCAAGTTTCTGTTCACCGTTTGAGACATCCTTTTAGAGTAAATTCACGAGCGCCTGAAGAATGTTTCTCAAAAGCAGAAGTAGCGGTACAGGTCCGCTGTGAGTGGCAGCTTTGTAACCTAAAAGAGAAGTGGACATATTTTGAAGCTGATGTTTATGCATCTCCCTGTGAGTTTCAAGTGTGCGTGTGTGTGTGTGTGTGTGTGTGTGTGTGTGTAAGAAGCTAGATTTTCCCACAGGGTTTAGCGTATCGGCAAAGAAGAAGAAAAACATGCCGGTTCATTCTGGTAAAGCTTAAGTTTTGATGTCAGCTGCTGTTTCATCAGAGCTATTGCTGTTTCCTGCTGCCGCCTCCAAAGGTATTGTAAATGTAGGTCTGTTTGCTAGTTGTACATTACTCTGACTTGGCTTTATTTGTCATTGTTGCATAGTACTAAACATGACTTGAAATTATCTGATAAAAACTGAGCAAAACAAAAACCAGAAACAAGTCGAACAGTTAACACTCTGCCCATGACCTACTGTTTTGTGATTGGACGCAGTGATGTGCCAAACTATTTCTTGTGACAACTGCCTCGAGTAAGACTAAAGTGTGAAACCAACTTTGAAATTGTCATTGTATTTTTTTTATTTTTATTTTTTTTTACATAAAAGTTGCTTGTTTGCACAGAGCCCAACAGTTGAGATGCGAGAACCGAGGCATTTTTATTCTTTTTGTTTTGACTTGGCCTGCATGAGTTTTTTCACAGCATACCCTTGTGTAATGATACCAAGTTCCTTTTTATAACATGATTTTTGCCTTTATTTCAACAGCTTGCCAACCAGCCTGTAACCTGCCAGTTTTTAGTTTTAAAACAGTGTTGGCTTATTAGCAGCAACGGGGTAGCGTTTTCAGCGAGCAAGAAGTTTGTAACTTTGTCGTGCAGCCAAATTCGTTTGTGCGGGGGGGGGGGAAACATAGAAGTGCAATCTTTCTGCCAGTTTAGCAGCGACATGTCGGGGTAGTTCTGCGTTCTGCTCCTGGATCCGTACAGCCAGAAAAAACTTTGGTCACTTTTCCTGTCATTCCGTTTTATATGACGGTACAAGGATCAGTTTTAATGGTTTCCGTCACTTGTTAAAACCTCGGTGTGCCTTTATACCTCTCTCCAAGTATTGCTGAGTTCTCCCACTTGTCAATAGTGGTTTAAGACTAGTGCCAGTTTCACACTTAGAACTATTATATTGCATACAATTATTTCTTTAACTTGTAGTTAAACATACATGTTGGTTATTCAAAGTAAAATGTTTTAGAGTAACTGGAAAATCTGTTTATATTCTCTTGGTTGTTGAACAGAGAAAGCTATCCAAATAAAACGTGTATGGATTTTAATACATATTTATTCCATATAGTTTAGCTCCTTGATTAGGATATATAGAAAAAAAATATCGAGAAGACTAATCTTTTTTGAACTGTTGACTCGGTTAATGCAAAATTAAAATAGAAAAAAAAAAGAGTTAGTTTTTCTATTTTCTTCTGAAAGCAAAATGCTAGCTACCTCGCTGTAGTTTTCCAACGGGTTTAAACAAAATACAACACGTATATTAAGGGTGAAAGTTCAAAAGGATCAGATTCATTCATTCATTCATTGTGTTCTTGAAATTATCGATCTATCCTAAACGGCAGATCAAACATTAGTTCCACACTGGAAACATTTGGCAGACTTTTTTTCAAATATGCATTTTAAAACAAAAATGCACGCATCACAATCTGAATGTATTAAACGTGTTCCTTTTTTTTTTTTTACTTTCAACTTATTTATTGTAACCTAAAACTTTGAGATTAACCTGAGCTACTTTCCTGCCATCGGTGGGCGAAATGCACTGACGGTCTGATGGAAGCCACAATCAAAACGGTTAACCTTGTTACGATCGTCAAGCAGAAAACCTCTTAGCTCTGGTCACCGACTGATTAAGCATGGCAAGAAATTGAACCGTTGGTTTGTCTCAGACTTTTTATGTTGGTTTACATTAGATACAATTTTGTTCTCGCAGAAAATACCTTTACAAGCCCCAGCATTGAATTTTACACCTGCAGAACTTCTGTGCACCATAAAACCTGATATGGCCATTTAGTGTTAAGTATATCCCCTTTGTGGTACCTTTTATTTTAATTACACATTAACAAGGCAAAAAAAAAAAAAAAATGTATCGCCTATCTGTTGATGTTGTCTTGTGTGTCTCCACAGTGTGAAGGTGGCCTCCTTGTTCTCCATGTCTTGCTAAAGCTTCAGACGTGGGATTAGAGCACCATGTTGGAGCCTCAAGAATCTCGATACAATATCGAGGAGTGGCTGATGACCCTTCGCTTGTCGCAGTACATCTCCTTCTTCCAGAAGGCTGGATATCGGGTTGTGGAAGACTGCAGAGGACTCACAGATGAGCGACTCCTGGAGCTCCAGGTGCTGCCGACCGGCCACCGTAAACGAATCCTCTGGAGTTTGGAGGCACAAGGGTTGAAGCAAGAGGGTGGAGAGAGAGGTGAAAGCGAGCAGGATACTCGGGAGAGTGATGGGAATCAAAAGAAGCCACCGTTACTCCCGAGACACGTTTTCCGTAATTACCGAAGCACGGGGGTGTCCTGTCAACATAACCAACCGAAGGAGAACAGGGACTATAATGTGGAAGGGAGTCAGACTTTGCCTGCAGGTGCAGGACTAACACCAGATCCTGAGAACCAGCCCGGTCGCCGACATATTATTCCACCAGTACCTGCCCCACGAAACCTCCAGCTTGCACAGACGTCTGTGTCCTCACGTCCCTGCTTTCCTACCTCCATGCTCTCGAGCAGCAGCAATGAATCGCTTCCCACCTCGGAAACGCCCTCCGATTTCGAGGCCTCTTCAGAAGAGCAGTGTCAGTGGAACTGTGACTCTGTGCCCTCTGCAACCGATGCTCTCCGTCTAGTGCTAGCTGAAGACCAAGAGGATTTTTATGGTGAGATGGTGGAAAACTCAATCTACGAGGCACAACCAGCCGGCCCGCGACTTACCCGCTCCTACCGGTTAAGGCACCGGCCTGTTCCTGAAATCCCCAGCGAACCTGCTGCTGCGCTCCTGGACAGGTACTGCTTTTTAAGTTAAAAAGCGTAGCTGTAGAGTTAATAAAACTCGATTCTCCTTTTATAGACCCGCCGTAGCATTTACACACACGTCGTGCTCATTAGACGAGTCATCCAGAACGTTTTTGCGCTATACTCGGTGTGCGCATTTACACAGTGGGGGTTTAAGAAATTAATTGCAGCCACAGCATTAATTAGTTGAGAATCATCTGCTGCATTCCAGCAAATTATTACTACCAATGGCAGAACCTCAACGGCTCTACTAGGCAGCCCACCCACTGTAAAAATATGTTTAAAAATAAAATATGCACAAAAGCATGAGTCCGTTGCAACCAAGCTCAGAAAGCTTTGATTTTGGCAGAGTGTATGATTACTAGTCTGATGCATAAAAAGGTAAAAGGTGCCAGGATTTTCCAAAGCTGCATCAAGCATAGAGAAGTGCAGTGTTGACCTGTTACTGTAAAGTGCCATACGGTGGTTGAGAAAAACATAACCAGTAACGATGTAGAGTTAAAACGGCCCCACCCATCATTCTCATTAAGACAAGATGTCTGTTAAACTGTAGATTAGCTAGTAGGGATGATCAGTTTTCCTTATTTTATTGCCATCAGAAAAAAAGAAAAAAGAATTTGTGAACCCATGAGAACTCTGATAATCTCTATGCGATCTGTGCAAGCCACAAAAACATGCTTAAGATACAATTGAATACAATTACTTTATACTTTATAACAGCATAGTTGCAGCACCAAATCTCAAAACTTTATGATTATTAGATTAATGGGGGGCGGAGGGGAAGCGACTAACAAATAGTTTTTTTTTTTTAATCATCACTATGATAAATGCCACAAAACTTTAGTGAGATTTTTAGTTCTCATCTCCTGTCCCTACTGGCTCACCTGAAGGAGTAGCATGACTAAAATGACACTAACCAGCGAAGGATGCTTATGCTGCTCTCTAAAGATCAGATCAAGCAAAAAGATGTAATACTCTGCAAAACTGAGACTTAAAAAAAATTATGTTAAATTTCATGTGGTTTTACTCCTTATTTTTGCTTTAGTCTGTAAATAAAAATGAAAAAGACGATATATAAAAAACCAAAATGTTATTTTAGCAACAGTAGACGTAGCTGTTGGTTTTGTGTTTTTTTTTTTTTTTTTAAATATAAGATATTTTTTGTTTTGCATTTCTGCACAAATATCTCAACACATTTTAAAATGTGATGTTTTTTTTTTTTTTTTACCCAAGCTTATCATCCCATTAGAATCTGATACTGACCTTACCCACACAGTGGTTTGTGCCCAGTAATTCCAGCAAAGAACAGCACTGGGTTCAGAGTGAAACTGCAACTTTTCCTGTTGCTGATCCCTGAAAAGCAACAATCCTACTCCTTGTGAGCTCAGAGTTGCATCTCAAGCCTCTCAAAGTCTCACTTGGCATTTAAACCTCAAAGTTCATAGCCCTACAATATGTGAAAAGACTGACATATGAAAGCTAATTTAGATATTGCAATAAAAAAACAAAGCAACCTCTGCTGTTTAAGACGGAGGATTGTAGCATAGCTTAGTAGGCAAAGGCTGGTCAGGAGTATCGGGACAAACTACAGACCAGAACAGCCGGACATTTTGAAGCAACTTGAGGATTCTGTTTGATCCGTTTCTTTAAAACAATCAAGTTCTTTACGATTTAAGAGATGGTCACTGCATAATCAGTCTTTCCTTTTCATTGATATGCACCGTTTTCTTCAATTACTAGACCATTGACGCATATGTTAATAAACGGAAACGAGGTTCTAGTTTTAGAATTGAGAAGATTTGTAAGAGAACTTCAGTGCTAACGTTGAGAAAAAAAAAAATCACAGTTTGCATCTTGTGTGTGCGTGCGTGGGTGTGAATGCATATGCACATGTAAAAGAAATAAAATAAAATAAAACTATGCTTTTTTCTTTTTACAATTTTATAGTACAATGACAATCTCTTGCTGTCCTCTGCTAACAGACTGGCTTTTACAGCAAACGGTATATTTCTGCAGGGAACATGTTTGGACATCTCTTTACCAAAATCCGAGACAGTGTGCCAACAGAAATGCTTCAAATGAACTACAAGTCACGGTGCTTGAAATCAAAGCATCAGGGCTTCCTTTGTTTCTACAAGCCCAGGAACGACCACTGAGCAAAAAGTACTTTGGATGACAAAGTTAAATTTTAATCAGACAAAGATAATCTGAGCAAACAGACAGTGCCTCTTAGGAGAAAATGGTAATATGTGAGAAAAGTTATATACCCAAAAACCTTATAACTTGTTGTGCCACCCCTGGCAGCAGCAAATGTATCGCGCATTTCTGAGACCAGACCGGGTTGTCTTTTATTTCTCTCTGAAAGAACTTTGTTCTAAAATTCGTTACAAAAATTGTATTAATCAGGCCACATTGAAGCGTTCTCCAGACTAAGCTGCTTGTTTGCAGGTGAAGTCGCACCATTTCAATCTAAATTAAGCCCAGACTTAGACTAGATTTAACCGTGTCTAAAAAAAAAAAAATAAAAAAAAAAAATTAAAAATAGCTGAAATCGGTGGGGATTAAGTGCTTGTTTGCTTGCCAACGTTGCCATTGCTTTCAGACGTACACCAACGGGGAACCGGAGGAGTACGATTACGTATCCCACAGAAACGAATGCCCTTCACTCTGCACTTTTATTTGGACCTTTTGAGTTGTGAAACTTTCCTCAGCTCTGAAGGTCTTTATGCTTAACTATTTCTCCCACGAGCTCCACTGTTGGTTCTAATCCACTGATTCTGCTTCCTCCTCAGGAGCGCACAAACAACCAGCCCTGAACACCTAACCGGCTCAGAGCGTCCCACTGGTGCAAACGGCATACAGAAAGGTATGCACAGACTTTCGGCTACATCCCCTTTATCTCGGCTATGAATATTTCATACGGCAGCGGAGTCAGCGGTGCTGTTGTTTGCCCGAATGAAAGCTGGGGGCTTGGGGGGAGGGGGGAGGGGAGAAGAGCCAAGGGTAGAGCGTGGGTGCGGCGGGGCTGTTCGAAGGCTGCGTCGCGGGAGAAGCCGACACCCCGGTTTCAAGCGCTCATCTCGCCGGGCATATGCTCTCTCATATCTCCTTCCTCGGGGAGACCTTGGTATATATTCCTGTCGCACCGCTCTCTCCAAAGTTTTCCTGAAGTTGTTTAACTTTGGTAGCGACAAGTAGGCTTGTAGTGTAGTGATTTTTATCCGGCTTGCTCAGCGATTCCCCCCCACCCCCCCACCAGCCGGGGGTATGTTGGGGGGAAAGACTGGACTCATACGAGCGGATAATGCTTTTCTTTCACAGGATCTTATCGCAAAACAGCTTTAAACTTGTAAGCCTTCATAGGGTGTTAACAATATTTGTCACTCTCCTGATTATTTCTCTGCCCTCTGACACAGATTTTATCTGTTGTATCTACTTTATTGTTATTGGTAACTTTTACTCTAACTCTGTAGCCTCTTGGCAGGCGATGTTTTGCCAACTTCTGTCCGTGTGGAACAAAATAGGCAGTGAGGATAGACAGGGAGGCGAGACAGTGGGAGAGGGTTGGGAGAAACAAGGACGAGACGCATGCAAAGCAGGCTGAGAGAGACCGAGGAGGAGGAGAAGAAGAAGCCAAATACGTCCCAGAACAGGGACATGGGGAGCCCGAGTCTCAACTAGCAAGTAAAAAAATTCCCCTAACTAAGATTCAAGCAAGGAAGACGTTATTTGACATATGATTCTCGTGGAGCACATTTGAAGGGTTTATTCCATGATGAGATGTGGGATGCATAAAAAAAAAAAGAAAAAAAAAAAAGAAAAAGTGCAGTACTGTCTGAGAGAAGGATGTATTCAGTAAAAATGCATCGCTGGAGGCATGCAGGCATTTAATTTCTGCACCTTGTCCTTCGACACTGCTCCAAAAACAGCACATGTTCTGTTTAGTGTTTTGCTCCAGCAGCCCTGATGCCCCTCATTCCAACATAAGGCCTTGTGCGATTTTTTTTTTTTTTTTTTTTTTTTTTTTTTTGTGAGTGGCACACATACAAAATCGCAAATGTCTGACTCGACATTTATATTTGCAGCTCGGTTAGTTTTCTGAAAATTCTATAAATCTGAAGTATATCTGTGGTGCAAACATGTCATGGCAAGGAAGGAAGTCATAACAAAGGAAACCATAAGAAAGTCGTGTTTTCCAGGGTTTTGAAAGGGAAACGAACTGCTTTCAAAGCTGCCGGCACGTAGCGGCGTCACTGTATTGTGTAGCGTTTCCACTTTCAATCGATCGTGGCGTGTAAGTACAATGGAAAATGAGAAAATATCGGGAGTCGCACTGTCGAGATCATTTCATTCCATCTATTCTGATTCTCGCCACCGAAAGACTGTTAAAAACAAGGCTGCAAATCTAGATAGAAATTCTCATTAATTTCAGGGGCATATGAAGCTGGTGTCTTGGAATTTCTGTGCCGAGAATTTCTAAGAGATCACCAGTGAATGTTTATCCTGGAGATGAAAGGAAATCTGTCGTCAGTGCAAATGGATAACGTTGTGAATTAAATTCCAAATTGCTGTGTGTCAGATCGTTGCCAGACAGATCAGATGATCCTTTTTTATTTTTATTTTATTTTTTATTCTTCTTTATCTGGGGAAGCTGGGTATGGCGTACCAAAAGGAAGAATAAAATTTAATCACTGGCAATATTATTAAAACAAAAACAAATATAACAAAAGTGTAATGGATCACTGGAATAAAAGGTTTAATTTTTTTTTTTTTGAAGAGCTATGATGTGCTGATGGAGGTGGTAGTACTGAACACAAATGTATGCAATTTGAAAACTACAGATTTACAAGAGTAAAAATCAGTGTTGTCATTAAAAAACCTTTTATTATTAATAACCTGAGTCGAAAAAAGACTAAGAATTTGAGGTTAAGTTGGTAATAGACAACTTGAGAGGAACTTACGTTGGTTTTCTTTCTTAGAATCAAACAAGATTCAAACAAAAAGGGAAAAACAACTTTTTGCCATTTTTAATCCAAGAAAATACATGTTCAGATCTATTAAAAACTCTAACAGACTGTGCCTGAAAGCATCACAATAAACTTCTTCCAATGCAGAATAGCTACAGTTCAGCTCCGCGTGACGGAGGTTGTTCTTTTGGCCATGATCACAGGTGAGAGTTGGAAAAGACAGACATTTCTCTGCCAGGTTTAAAAAAAAAAAAAAATGATTTGGAAACAGAACTAAAATGAGAATGACTTTGCAGATAATTTGATTTACTAATGTACCCGATGCAGCAGAACGCTGAATTCCACTCCCTTGATCCCAATAAACCTGCTTACCTATTAAGAACTGGACAAGGACATTTCGGTCTACAAAAACCCCCTTAATTTTGATCCAATTTAGACAATCGTAGTAGTTTTTTTCCAATGTGTCAGGATGCGGTACCTCCTGTCACAGCAAACGATTAAACAATAAAAAATATGTACTTTGTTTAATTGTCTAAGCTTCTCTCTCAGCATAGAGGGCGTCAAAAAAAAAAAAGTGTTAATTACAACGTGACCTGCGCGTCCCTGACTTGACTCATCTCTTTACTAACTCCGAGCCCGATAGCGGTGTCGAGGTTGCCCAGACTGCTGCTGAACAAAGTCTGGTCCAAAGCAGATAAAGAATCCTCTGAGAGAAACGACGGCGCATAGCAGACACAAAGCCTCTGAGAGAACGGTAGAGGGGAACAGACAGCAATAGAGTGCAGTGGCATCAGCGGGGCCCCTCGGAGAGACCCACGAGTGGCCTGAAGGTCGGCTGATAGAAGGTGATTGATGGTCGCTATCTGCCCACCAAGCTTCTCCGTGGAGAGGGTTGCAGTGTCGGAGTGCAGTCCATCATCCAGCATTCTGACCTCTTCATACGGCTTGCAAAACCGACTACTTGCCCCGCGTGCTCTCCTATAATGGCGAGGATAATTGGAGAAAGAAACTTTCTGCTGGATGTTAAAAACACCAACATTTATGTGGCAGTCTTTTCATTTGGTCCTCTGCCCTTTTATATCTTTGTTTTGTCTCAAGGCGTCTTTAAGTGTCTGAGGGTGATTCAATCTTTGTAAAGTCTCAAAGCGCATCTGTCCAACCGCCGATGTCTCTCTCTCTCTCTGTGTGTGTGTGTGTGTATGTCTGGCCCTGTGGCGACAACTTCTGGCCTTCACAATCCTCAGGAGGGAGTAGTGTCATTTTTCACGGTGACAGGAAGCGGCCTACGCGCTGTAGCTCCAGGTCTCCAGACTAATAGTGTCTGGTTTGAGTCTCTCTCTCTCTCTTCTTCTTCTTCTTCTTCTTCATCCTCGCTTTCCGCCGACCACAGTTCCTGCAGGAACAAAAGACGGAGAAGACAGTCTTGGCAGCGATGCTGTTCGTTTGAGACGGTCCGAGGAGGATCAGACTCCCATTAGCGTAAAGAAGAGGGCCGAGGCGGAGAGATAGGCACGCTGAGGCATAAAGGGAGGGGGGAAAAAAAAAATAATAATTGGTTTGTGCCTGGATGGATCAAGGGCTAAGACGTTTACTCAGATCAATGAGTTGGTTAAATGAAAGAGCCCTATAACATCTAAGTGATTTGAAATTCAACCGGAACAATTCGGTTAAGCTGCTCACTTTCAAGCTCCACATTTTAGGCCTTCACGCCATGTTTTTTTTCTTTCTTTCTTTTTTTTTTTTTTTAAAGTTCCAACTCTTCGACAAAGCCACCTTTGTGTTTGTTTCTGTCTCCTTTTTAGCTCCACTTCAAAGAACCTTGACGCCCATCGCTCCCTACGGAGAAATATTCCTGTACAACAAGCCCGGCTCGGCTCCGGTAAGACGGCGCAACACTCCCACTCGTGGACGAGTGACGAGCAGCTCGACAAAGAGGAACCAGCGTTTCTCAGATCTTTCACCAGCATCTCTGCTGTTTCAGCCACACTCACACCGAACTTCCCTTCGCAGTGTTAATGATGTCACCCGCGAACACATTGCAGAGTGGAAAATGTGCTTGTTTCAGTGTGCTCTCCCCCCCCTGAGGTTAATTGAAATGTCACCCCGCTACTAAAGTTAACATAGTTTAGGGCGCCGACTTGATAAGGGTGTCCTGCTGAAAGATGGACGCGTTCTTTTCGTCCGATGCTAATCTCTGCTGCTCTCTGTAGGAAAAAGGCGCCAAAGACGGGTTGCAGGGCTTTAAGGCCAGGATGAAACCGAAGAAAAAGAGGTGTGTATGCTGATCTGATGCCGCCTTCACAAGGTGCAACCCTACCAGCATGCCTGGGTGGGCCCCATGTGGGGAAAAGGAGGGCAGGCCATATGGGTTTGTCCGTGGGTTCCACGATGGCCCCACATGGGTTTGCCCATGTAGGGCTATAGCCCACATGGGCCCTATATGGTGGTGGCCCACATGGATTTGTCCATTTAGGGCCCATGTGGGGCCCATTTGGGCTGTGACCCTACATGGACAAACCCATGTGGGGCCATCGTGGAACCCGCGGACAAACCCATATGGGACCCATATATCAGCCCTCCTTTCCCCCACATGGGGCCCACCTAGGCATGCTGGCCGCGAACAGGGGAAGCTGCCTTCCCTGCTTCTAGAATGCTGATGAAAAGCCTTGAATTCACATTGTTCTGCACTTCACAGCCACGAAGTTCAGCATGTTTCATTTAGATCTTATGCGTTGCTTAAATAGATTTTAGCAATTCATAAGTGTAAAGTCAATAGAAACGATCTATGAAATCCGCAGCATCTGAAAAGTGTAGCACGCATCGGAATCCAGAGCAAGAATTGTCTGCCGCCTAATGAGCAAACGGAGAGTCAAGTTCCTTTGTCTCGGTATGAAAACTTACCAAAAACATGGCCGTTCTTCAGCGGGCACACATGAACGGGCGAGGAGTGACTACAAATGAATGCCAGGCATTTGAGATTTCTAGTTATAAGAACGTTATATTTTCCTTCCGCTTTACAGTAGTTTGCTGGTTTCCTAATAAAATTCATTGAAGTTTGTCCTTTTAACGTGGAAAAAGCACCAGCTGTTTCAGTGAATCTGTGAGGAACTGTGTGCGCGAGCAGTTAAAACATTAATTTCACAAATTTTTTTTTTGTATATGAATAAGAAAAATAAGTAGGGGTATACATCACTCCCTGCCTCTCATTAATGCTTAGCAAATGATTATCTCAACGTTTTAGGAAATTCAATGATTAGCCTTGCAGAAGTTTAGATGCGAGGATCAATGTTGCATTCACTGTGCTTGTTAGCTAATTATGTAGCTCTGCAGCTAGGCTAAGAGGTCTTTTATCTTTTATTTTTGTCGAGCCATAAACTTCCTGAATCTTCAGGTAAGAAATTAATTTTGTTTTGAGTTTTACTTTTTTTTTTTTTTGTCCGTGAGACCAACATAGACCAACATCGCCAGCAGTTCTAATGTATTTCAAGTGTCGTGATTATATCATTTACTACGCTTTGAGAGATTACATATAGAGCGCTATAAAGTCAGGTTACATCCGTTTTTGAATTCTCCACGTCATATGTGCTCTTGCAGAAAAAAAGCCAAAGAAAAAGAGAGTCCTCCGTCCCCACCTGTCCCCAACGCAGACGGATACTCGACCGTGAAAATGTGTGCCAGCATGCTACCTCGGGCCAGTCTGGACACGGCTTTTTCCACGACCCCCGACACTGCCCCGGCTGGTTTGGCGAGCCCCGTCCCCGAAGACGAGTCCATGATCATGGTGGAGTGCGACCTCTACACGGAGTCTGCAAACTGTCGAGGGATTGTGACGGACAGCGCAGAGCCCGATATCTCGCCGTACGCCTGCTTCTACGGAGCTCCCAAACAAGCGGTCAAAGTGGGCTGGCTGGACAAGTTGTCACCTCAGGGGTGAGTTAGTATGAGAGGCCCCATAGGCCAAAACATACAAACTCTCTTACACGTACTATCAAACCCTCTCACACGTACTATCAAACCCTCTCACATTCGCTATCAAACCCTCTTACACGTACTATCAAACCCTCTTGCACGTACTATCAAACCCTCTTGCACGTACTATCAAACCCTCTTGCACGTACTATCAAACCCTCTC